CTAACTAGTGGGAAATTGCAGCGAACTCTACCTCTCTTATCACTAACCAATAGTCTTATGTTTTTCGATCTTACCAGCTCTTGTCCACGGATCTCCCTCATATGGGGGATCTCGAGCCGGTTAGTCGCCAGGCCGCGGTTAGCGGACATGATTTTTTTACTGTATTTCTTTTGTGGAAAAATTACTCGACAGCATCTCGCCAGGATCTTCTGTGACATAGACTTACTCTTAGCTGGACTTCGAGAATCAAACCTGAAATATCTTTCGGGATTAAGTGATTCTACTTTCTGATGAAGTCTAACACTTATTGCTGAGCAACGCAGTTTGTTTGTGTGGCTTGACATGGTGATAAGGACTTAGGACTTAGGGCTAACGATAGATTATGAAAATTAATCTCGCGCTGTCACTCAATGCTTTTAGATGAAAGCAATGGTTTATTACGTTTCGAGTAGAGAGAAGAAATAATGGAAGGTTTCCTGAATAATTTCGAAAACTTTTAAGAGCGCTAGAGCAAAAATACAAGGAGTATGAAAAATATACGGCCCGTTAAATCGAACATTTTCCAAAAAATATGCCTTTCATTCGTGAAATTTTTATGGTTTATCAACGAAGTCTACGGTACTCCCTCATATGAGGGATCTCGAGCCGGTTAGTCGCCAGGCCACGTGGCGCGTCCCCAGGTGGCGGATAGAGGAGGTTAATCGCGGACCAAAAGCAACATTTGCCTCTCTGAGACGCAGGTGGATCCAGGGATGGAGTCCCTGTTTTTGCTGCGCTGATTTGGCACATACTTTCTGTATTTGCTAGGCGTATTCATGCATGCACGTATGGGTGCGTTCTTGGTTATGTGTATTGTATTCTACGAGCCGATTCAGCCAAAAGTCTGCAATCAAGTGACTAAGAAGTATGTGGGAGGCGATTAGGAATCGTTTCCAACAAATCAGCTTCATGTCCACTCTGGGAGAGCCTGGCAAGTTACCCGTGAGTATACCCAGCCCCCACACTCAGAGCCCAGCAAGCTATACGTGGGTATCAAAAATGCTAAACACCGTAAAAAAACGGGCCTCATTTCGCTGACCCCGAAAGACCCCCATTTCGCAGCGTCGCATAGGACGAGTGCGGCGACCCTGCTAAAACCTCAGGACCAATGGAAGCAACCTGGATTTCAAAGAATTTTGGTGACGATCTGGGCCTGCAATGCACGTACGCTTGCATCCGAGTTCTCGATAGAAGGCTTTCTCATGCAAGCAAGAAGGATAAAGTACGATGTCATCGGCCTGGCCGAGACGAGAGCACGCCAGCCCTTCAACGCCGTCTATGACACCGGAGAAGAACTGTCCCTCGGAACATGAGACAGTAGAGGAGTCGGCGGCGTCGGCGTTCTGGTCAACATGAGTTTGTCCATGAACATCGATTCATTCGAACAACTTACAACCCGAATCGGACGCTTACGATAGACGTGTATCAATTCCGGCTTTGACAATCTTCGTCGTTTAAGCGCCGACATCAAACTATGACGAAGAAGAAGTCGAAGCGTTCTATGTGGACTTGGAAAAGTTCTACAGAGAAGACCACACATTTTTCAAGGTCATTGGAGATCTAAACCCAAAAATTGGACCAAGAAGAAGGTCTGAAGAACGTCACATTGAGACCGACGGATTAGAATGGAACGAACAGGGTGTGCGGCTATCTGAGTTTATCATGGCGGCCAGGACAATCTATGGTAACTCGCAATTGCAGAAGCCCCACACTCAGCACTGGACGTGGGAGTCTCTCGATGGAGAGTACCACAACGAAATAGACCACATCATAGTAAATAGAGGGTTTTGCCTAACCGATGTCGCTGTTGTCCCAAAATTCTACAAGGGATCAGACCCTCGTCTTCTTCGCGCAATATTCTATTTCTCGCGGAAAGGAGAAAAAGCCGCTGATTTCCAAAACCGAAGTCCCAGAACCACTGCAAATTGGGTTTTATTCAATTCATTAGCTGGCTATTGAGAGGATGCCGTTGTCCATAACATCGAAGAAGAATACGATCAGCTCATTCAAGATCTTCACGCTAGCGCTATGAATGCTGAGAGTTCGAAAGCCACCAAAAGACACTTGTTTCCAGAAACACTCGAGCTGATACGCCAGTGGGTAATCGCAAGAGCTGCAGGCAACCGAGAGCTAACGTCCGAACTTGCAAAACAATGCAGAGAGGCGATAAAAGAAGATCTTAGAGAGAGAAGAGTAACAGTAATGGTCGAAGCTGCAGAGGCTGGGAAAAGCGTTCGCAAAGCCCAGCGAAGCGTCGCCAATTACAAGACCAAAGTGATTGCACTCCGTTGCCCTGTTGGAAAGGTTACAGCGTCTAGAAAGGCAGTGGAGAACTATCTAGGATTCCTACTCGGATCTCTTAACAGCTACATGCTCCCGTCCTCGAATGAAATAAAAACGAATGGAAATGTCGCTCAATCGGCTCTCCATCGAGGAATTAGACTTGCTATTTCGTCGGTGAAAAATCGAACCATACCTGCTACGGATAGGATAAGATTTGAACACTTGAAGAAACTTCAGTCAGTCCCTACCAACATACTCGCTCCGCTCTTCGCACGTTATCTGTCGGAATGAAAGGTTCTTATTTAATGACCAGCAAGACCGCGTTATTGTTCAAGAACGGTGAGATCCACGATATCGGCAAATGTCGCCCAATCTGCTTACTGTCTGCCGTCTACAAACTTTTCACTCTAGTCATCCTGAACAGGACTGACTAGACCCAACACTAGACGAAGGACAGCCATGTGAGCAAGCAGGGTCTTGAAGAGGATTTATTATGATGGACCACATCCACACGGTAATGCGGCTCATTGATGTATCGCGAGAATACAAAAGACCGCTCTGTCTCACTTTCGTCGATTTACAGAAGGCCTTTGATTCAATTGAGATAGATGCAGTCATGGAAACCCTTGACAGTGAAGGAGTCCATACTCAGTACATAAAGATTCTTCGTGAGCTGTAAAAAAGATTTCACAACCAAGGGATCACCATTCTACAACGATATTAATGTTGACGTGAAAAGGGTTGGGCAAGGCGACGCCATCTCGCCAAAATTATTTACTGCCACCCTCCAGAACGTCAAACAAACATTGGAATGGGATAGCATGGAAGTGAAAATCCACGGTCGGCAGTTTCACCATTTTCGCTTTGCTGATGACATCGTCCTTGTAACACCAAACATTAGCCATGCAGAGCGTGTGCTTGACGACTTTGACGAAGCCTGTGGAAAGATTGGTCTTCGACTAAATCTCTCAAAAACGATGTTTATAAAGAACGGATTGGCTCGGCATGCCCCATTCACGCACAACGGAACGAATATCTCCGGATGCACCAGGTATGTCTATCTAGGTCGGGAAATCAATATGATGAACGACCTAGCTCCAGAGCCAAGCAGAAGAAAACGAGCGGCTTGGGAAGCTTTCAAGAGCATCGAGCATGTAGTGAAGAGAACAAAGAACACCAGACTCCGTGCCCACCTTTTCGACTCAACGGTACTTTCTGCTCTAACGTATGCGTTAAAAACCTGGTCGCTGGGTAAGCAGGATGGAAGATCACTCAGCGTTATCGAACGCGCAGTCGAAAGGACGATGGTAGGAGTATCCCGTTCCACTCTAATGAGGAATGGGATCCGAAGGTCTGATCTGCGTCAAAGATCAAAAATCAAAGATGCCGTACTGTACACCAAACAGTCGAAGATAAGGTGTACCGGACACGTAATGCGTATGAATTACAACCGATGGACAAGAGCCGTTAGTGGCTGGATTCTCTGGGATGTCAAACGTACTGCAGAAAGACCAGCTGTTGGGACGGCTCGATTGTATAGGAATACCAAGTAGCTAAGATGATTCGGTCAGAACTTGTTGCTCGCCTTTGTGTACGCCACGCGGGACTTTTTGTAAGTAGCAATCACAATGCCGGAAACCTCAAACTTAGGTAATTAAACCATTTATCATAACTAAACAACAATTATGGCATAACAATGCAACCGTACAATTAATACAACAATGATACAAGTAATGAATAGACGCAGCCTGATTTCTTGTGTCCAGGTTGCTGAAGAGTGAAGAGGTTGTCATATGACTTCGACCACATAAGGCGATGTGAGGGAAGGATATGGTGATTTGGGCAGCATTGCTGTAACCTGAGCTAGTCCGCCGTGGAGCCGTTTATGTACCTTTTGGGCTGGGCGGAGTCAGGCTACAATAGGCGGAGTCGCGTTACAGTAGATGGAGTGGGGTTACAGTAGGTGGAGTCAGGCTACAGTATGCGGAAGGACGGCTGCCGGAAACATTTCACAAGTGTTGCAATCTGATAAGGCGATAGTCAAAGCATAGGACTGTAACTGCAGATGTTTTTCATGAGATAACCGCCAGCGAAATGTTAGCCATGTGGTTATCGGATCATCATAAGGTCACCAGAAACAGTATTTGAAATTGCCACGACCGACTTTCTATTAACCTCGGCATTGATCAAGTGATTCTCTTCGAATTTTTGTTGAGCAAACGCGAGGTGTTACTATTCTTTGTTCACGATTAAGCTGACGTTTCGGCGAATTTCGCCTTCTTCAGAGCCTGGAAAGGTCAAGTTGATAGCAACTCACTCGGCTAGACGCCTCCATAACTAAACAAAGAAACCCCAAACCAAGATTTCAATCACTTTGAACACAGCTTTGCACACTCACCGCTTTCTATGAGGTTTCCACTAAGTATGTCACGTAGAGACCAACCGCACAGAAATCACGTGGAAGTATAATGTGCCCCTCACATCAGAAAAGCAGTTTTATATACTGCCCTATCTCACGCGTGATAATGAGGCATTCTTCCCTGCGGTTCATTTCCGGATTTCTGGAATTAATCCAGAGTGCCTCAAGAGTTTTTCGCGCCTGCGTTCTTGATTCGCGTGCGAGGATCGTGACACATACTTCGAAGTCGTCCCCGTNCTGAGCTACAGTTTCGTAGCCATTAGAAACGGCTATTTGCCGTGCCAAGTTCCGGGACTCCTCCCTCTGCTCTCTTCCCGTGCACACGTTGGTTGCTGTTCGAAACATGTTTCTTATAAGCGCCCTTTTCGTGTGAGAGGGGTGAGAGGTAGAGGTAATGAACCAAGATGTTTTTACTACTTGGCTTTCGGTACCATTTTGTAATGTAGCCATTTTCTGATAGGTGAATTTGTACGTTCAAAAATGGAAGCCATTTTTCTTTCGGCTTTTCTCGGGTGAACTTGATATACTCTGACTGTGCGTTTAACAATTCGAAGCATTTGTCCATTTTCTCTTGTGTTGAGCAAAGGACAAAGCAGTCGTCTACATACCTACAGTAGAGTAGCGGCCCGAGATCAATCACCGGTGCTTCCACCTTAGACATAAATGCAATGGCAAGGCTTGGAGCCAGTCGTTGTCCCATTGCCAACCCTCTCTTATTTGAGCGTAGTACTTTCCAGACCATCTGAAGATTGAGCAGCTCAAGTATTCTTTTAAGAGTGCCATCAGGTGCTCTATCCTGAAGCCATAGAAATCAAATCTTGGTTTGGGGTTTCTTTGTTTAGTTATGGAGGCGTCTGGCCGAGTGAGTTGCTATCAACTTGACCTTTCCAGGCTCTGAAGAAGGCGAAATTCGCCGAAACGTCAGCTTAATCGTGAACAAAGAATAGTAACACCTCGCGTTTGCTCAACAAAAATTCGAAGTATTTGAAATGTTTGACATAAGGTTATCAGATCGTCATGGAGAAAAGGTCACCGGAAACAGTATTTGAAATGTTTGACATAAGGTTATAATTGATTTACATAGAAAACATTCCAATATTCGTGAAGAATGTTCTCTATACCAGCGACCCGATGATCAAAGTTCTTCACGAAGAGCCTTAAAGAAAGATATGATGCTTGACGAGTCCCTAGAGCGAGCAGATCCCACTGGGCTACTCTTGCACGTGACAGGGAAAAATGGAAGATTTGCTGGCGCCCGCTCGAGTCACTCGACGATCAGCGGGCCTACAGGTGATACAGGTGAGGTGATCAGCTCTCGTACCTCCCGTATACCACGTTTTTGCATTTCAGTGAGGTTGGAACAGTATCTCAATAGTGATTAAGGACTTTGAAAGTTTTATTTGTAAACTTCCGAAATTTCATGTCAACTTCATTGTTGGGCTCTTGTTATCCAAGGAACAATTGAGGAAATGGTGATAATGGTATTGCCCCTCGTTTTTGTTGTTCGTGCCTATTTAGCGCTTTATCCCTAGCTTTTTTTGCGGAGGCTATCTTGAAGTTCATGTAAACTACGTGCGACCCTACGCAGGCTTACGTTAGAAAGGGGTCTCGATCCCAATTCTAATAACGCGCGCGCACCGTCAGGGAGAGTCTCGCCTCCTAGCACGCCTAGCCTTGAACTTCTTTGCTCACCTCTCCTCTCACCCTTCTCACACGAAAAGGCCGCTTGTGAGAAACATGCTTCGAACAGCTACCAGCGTGTGCAGAGGAAGACAACAGAGAGAGGAGTCCCGGAACTTGGCGCAGCAAATAGCCATTTTTAATGGCTACGAAACTGTGGCTCGAGATAGGTGTAGAGGGAACCACAGTTACCTCAACGATAACTCTAGCGACAGTAAGGTCTCATTTATACTGCCCTTCATTTCAAATGAAGTAAGTGCAGCAACAAAACGCTGTTTAAGAAGGGCCAGTCTAGAGAATTCGGTAACGATAATTGAAATGCCACCGAGTAATCTAGGACGCCAGCTAGTTCGTAACCGCCTACACGAGCGTCTATGTGCAACGCAAAATCGCACAGTTTGCCCCAATGGTAAAGTCGATGACTGCATGAGATCGGGTACAGTCTATCTGATATATTGTAAAGCGTGGGAGGACGAATACGTTGACGAAACGGGTAGACCACCCTGCATACGTATAAGAGGACACCTAGTCGGCAAACGTAAACCAAATACTCCACTAGGCACGCATAGGACGGAGAGAGATAACGGAGAAGATTTTGAAGTATGGGTTACGATACTCGCACACGAATCGAGAACACAAGCGAGCAAAACTCTAGAGGCATTCTGGATTAATTCCAAGAATCCGAAAATGAACGACAGGGAGGAATGCCTCATTATCACGCGTAATATTGGGCAGTATATAAGCCTATTATTTTGATGAGATGGGCACAATACGATCCCGCGTGAACTCTGTGCGATTGGTCTCCACGTAACATATTTAGTGGAAGACTCATGGAAAGCGGTGAGTGTGCAAAGACTCTGTGTTCAGTGTCACTGAAATTTTAGTTCAGCATTTTCTCTCTTTGGTTATGGAGGTGTTTAGCCGTGTAGATTGTAGTCAACTTGACCTTTCTAGGCTCTGAGGAATGTGAAATCCGCCGAAACGTTAGCTTGTACGTAAATAAAGAAGCAAAATAACACCTCGTGTTTGCTGAACAGAAGTAGAAAGAATTATTCAATGAACGCCGAGGTTAATAGAATGTCGGTCTTAAGAGGAGAGTTATTAATCATAATATTCTTCTAGCCAAGTAATCTCATGGAGTTCGCAAAGTTGGACAGGAACGATGCCGACGTTTATGGGTTAAAGTACGATTATGGAAGTATAATGCACTATGGAGAGCTAAGGTCTGCAGAGTTTACCAGGAACTTCTGCCATATTTGTTAGCACTGACGAATTTCTCAGTTGTTCTACTAACCGAAGGCCTACTATGATTGCAATAGATCGTCGTTACCAAAAGACAATGGGATCTGAAATGATTTCTTTCACTGATATCTTCATGATCAACGAACACTACGGATGCAATGGTGAGACTTGTAAACATTTTGCAGTGTAACGCCGTAGCCATGCGTAGACCATTTTTTTCAGCAAATTGTAACAACTCTACATCCGCCAAATGTATGAACGAAGGATATCCTCATCCTCGAAACTGTTCCATGTGTATCTGTCCCAGTGGCTACGGTGGTGCTCTCTGTGATCAACGGGTGAGTAGTAGGTTTTAAAAGTGAGTGTTATTATCGATAACTGCGCTTGTTTCAGCCACCAGGATGTGGACAGTATGTAATTGCGATGGAGAAAAGACAAACACTTGAGTGTAGACTAGGTTTTGGAGCCGGTGTCAGAGATCAGTTTGGCGTTTGCAATTACATGATCAGAGTACGACTGCTTTAATATGAATCATCTTCATTGGGAACTATCACTATGGTTCAGGCCCCTGAAGGAAGGAAAATAGAAGTGGAAGTTCAGTCGGTCTCCCATGGATATGACTACGGTGGATGTCCAAGAGGTGGTGTCGAAGTCAAAGCTCAAAAAAACCAGAAGTTGACGGGTTACCGGTGAGAGTAAATTCTTGACGAATTCGAAGTTCTTGCAAGTGTAGAACTCTCCTCTTTTAGTTTTTGCTCCACAAAGGGCAGTGAAGGTCCCATTGTCTCCAAGTCCAATCCCTTGCCTGTGATCATTTTCAGCAAGGTCGGAACCATAGCGACTACCGTCGTGTACCGTTATATTGATTAATAGAGAAAAATTGTTAGCTTCACACTTCGTCGATTTCCCTTTCTCCAGAATCTATGGAGCTTCCTTATGCAAATTTTACGACCAAATTCTGTTTTTGTAACAAAGGCCTTATAAAAAATTGTGAGTTAGAAACCATTTACGATGGTTTTAAACAGGGGAGGAGTTATGTGTGAAAACTCGAATAATGTCGGCATGAATTGCACTTCCAATTGTGATTTCCCTTTCTCCAGAATCTATGGAATAGGGGTATTGCATGTGTACATATATATACATATATATATATATATGTATACGTATGTGTGTATGTATGTACACATACATATATATGTGTGTATACCCTGCGGCGGTAGTGTTTCTGATAACTTTCAACTCTGAAAAAATGAAGAGTTTTCTCAAATATAGAGAGTAGGTGAAGACAGTTTGAATGAGAAAATAACTTAAAACTTTCAAATCCTTGCATTATCGGCGTTAGTTCAGTACTTAGAAATGTCCATCATACGGTGAGGAAGCAAAACAAAAATTCCAGTAAAACTCGGCGTTTTTTCGACATTAACCACTTTACGCTGAACCGTTTATCCCGATTCATTGCACTCATCCAGTAGTGACAGACCTCTCCAAACAACTCTGTTTCTTAATAAATAAAACTTGACTTATGATTGCTAAAAGCGTCGATTAAAAGAAACTCTACTGGGTAAAGACCCCATCATTGATCTAAATTTCTAGAATGCGCAATGCATTTGACTCTACGAGGTGACCTGGGATCTAATACCGAACTAATGCCCAAATGGTGATTAAAGTACCTACCACCACTGCGCTACATGTGTCTGAGTAAACATAATAGTAGAAACCACTTGTGACATCTACTGAGCGTATAATACTTTCTTGTCATAAAATAAAGCATTGTCTTTGTGAACGATAACTAGAATAATGTCTGACCCTGTGGCGTACACGTGGCGGAACATTCCACAGAGTCGGTCATATGTTACATATTACCTTTTCATTAAGCACGTTAGTAGAAGAACTTCATAAAAAGAATTACACCCGCAAAAGCAGGAATTATGTTGGGAGCAGCTCATAAACGGTCTAGTCTAACCAAGTGCCCACGAGACATTTATTTATGACTATAAGGTTGCGTTACCAGCCCTGACAAACGGATGTGGGACCACCGCCACATCACGATGTGGAATCGATAACGGAAAAGTTATATACTAATTTTTTCCGCTCAACGATTTCGGTCCCAAATCTCGAAATTACCGCTGGTAAAAAACCGTCATAGATTTAATTTCTGAAGTTGGACGTGTGAAAGAAAGCTCCAAGGCTCGATAATATTATCGCTGGTTACCTTTTAACTGAAGCCGTACATAGATTCACTTCTTGCAATCCATGCTATATTTTACCTTAAAAAATTGAAAATCCCAGACAAGTAGAGGACATTGTTCACGGTCAGTTGGCACAAGAAGGGCGACTGAAGGAATCTTCGTAACAATGTTCTCATGTGCTTTTTTGTGAATAAATATCCTACTCCTCGCATCGATGACATCGGATGAGATGCAACCAGTTGAGCAAGCAGGATTTCGATAAGGATTGCGTTGCACTAGCCACATCCAAACCATGACCGACCTCACAACGCTTTGTCATGAACACCACTTTTTTTTGTCCTAACGTTTATTTACTATCAAATAGGCTTTCGCAGCGTCGAAGCGAATTCAATTCATTAAACACTGGGGTATCAAGGAGTAGATCAATCGTATAAACGAACGCTAGTTAGCATTAATCAGAGCCGCATCACAAGAAAAAATATTTGCTCAGCAGGCTTCATGCTTATAAGAAAAGGACTTCGACAAGGAGACGAAGTATCTCTAATGCTTTTTTTCTGCCACACTGCAGTTCATGATGAAGTCACTGGATTGGTAAGAGGCCGTACGTATCTATGGAAAGTTTCAATCAAATCGCTTTGGCTACATCGTCACTTTAAAAAGAGGATCATACACATAAAGAAAAAAGAATGGGTTTCACTGAAGCCTCGCAAAGAAGCCACCGATCAAATAGCTGACAGCTACAAACTCCGCGTGCACCTCTTTGACTTAATAATCCTTTTAACGCTATGTTACACAGCATATACTTGGTCTTATAATTCAACTAAGTCAAAAAAACGGTGAAAGCACCTAACCCATTTCTTTTGAAATATGACCGGCACACACGACATCTAGTCGGGATGCGAAGATGTGACCCTCGAAATCTATCTAATCTTCGAGACCAAGGAGAGCACACCTCGATAGAGAAAGAGACTAGGAGCTCGTATAATAAGAATGATAGTAAGAAGGCAGAGCAAAAATGCACGAAATAGCTGTAGAGTGGGAAGCAGCAGACCGCCTCGTCGGCCGAGATGAACCAACTACATGTTGTGCGGATGTGCTCTTAACTAAACTCAATTAGCTGGGCGCGCTGCTGCAGTTGTTTTTCAGTTCAGGTTATGAAACCTCGCAAGTGCCACCACTCTCCAATTGAACGACTGCCATGGACGACGATGGAGAGGCAAAAAAACGGATGGAAGATGTGCAAGGCTCTGCCGAAATCATGAAGACGGAGCGTCTAAGTTTCCAAGTTAGAAAGCAGGTCTATTAACCAAAATTGTAACACATTGTGGAAAAACACTATTATTTTCACAATCTTAACCCTTTTATTTACTGCCTTTTTCTTTTTAATGGCAGGGTATGTTGCGAAATATAACTCGTATATAATGCTGAGATTTTTGCAAAACTTCGGACCGCAGGTGTATGCGGTGGGGAACGAACGCGCACTATTGTCCTTTCCGGGGAGTGGCGCACTATTATTTTCCAATATGATGCTGATATATTTGCAAAACTCAGCCCAAAGGCCAGATTCGACCCCGCGATTATCCTTTCCGAGGGGTCACGTGCTACCCACTGCACTGCCGAGATCCTCGCTTTGCCTTTCTCACAGCCACATTTATTTTTACTCTTACTTTACTTTTACTCTAACCCTTACTCCCTTTTGAATTTCACCCACCGTCACAGGTTCAAAGATCTTCATCGCCTGAAAGCTGTTTGCTTTCATTCATGTCCTAATTAGGCTTCCTACTGGTGATTTTTAAGAAATCTTTCCTGTTAGAAATTGAACTTTTGATAATGAATAGTATCAACCATTAAAAGAGTAGCATTGAGATCGACGTCGCCAGTGACCGTGAAGATTTTGGAATTGAGGATAAACAACGTACTGAAAACTACGAATTTGGGAAAACTGTTAAAATTCTATTCTAAGACTACGTAGGAAATAAAGGATTTGAAAAGAACGATGTAGTTGAGGTGGCTGGTGATGGCACGAACGATGGTGACTTGTCACATTATGTCTTACGTGATCCTTGGCTTTTTCTATAACAACGAGTTTGGAACAAACTATTATCTTGTAGTGAAGCGATTTATTTTCATGATTTATTTGAGCATGGTGTTTAGTTCCAGATAGTGGTAAACTAATGTGTTGAAAAACGCCGTCGATTTGAGGGAGAGTGCAACTGTTGAAGAGATGAAAAGAATAATCGGTGTGTCTACGAATAAAAAACTTCTACGGCTGAGAAACTTAGTTAGAAAACACAACCCACAGACAATGCAACAAATATATTTATGCCTAAATTGCTTCGAGTGGGCGGATAGCACAGTGGTGGTGATGTCGGTTACCGCGAGCATGGCGCTAGTTCGTCCCCGCTCCGAGCCAACCAAGGCTGTCATCCATCCGAGGTCTGGAAAGTGGTACTGGACTTGTCCGGAAAAAGTCACTCTCTGCAATCTAATTAGAAACTCTCCAACCCGGCTATCTCAGAACTCCAGAAAGAATCGACTAGACCAGCATTCTATAACATTCAAGATGAATTGAAAATCCTCAAACAGTAAACGAAGCCAACTGTGGAAGGTGGAAGATCCTCTTGGACAATGTATGCGAGAAAACGACTCGAATGTGAGAAGTGCTGGGATCCTCAAAGTAAACGTGAAACGGATCAAATAAAAAAAATTACTTCGATAATTACTGCGAGTGGTGTTATCCATAGATCTTCTCGGTTAAAAAGACTACAAATGGAATATGGAATATGTAAAGTGCAAGGGCTTTTGCCTGTAATGAATGTTAGTGTGTTGCTTATGAAAGTTTCAAGTTGTAGTGATTGTAAGAATGCTACTTATGCAAGCTTTAAGTTGTGAAGACTGAAAAATTGCTAACTATAAAATCGGCTAACACAATAATCAGAAATAAGAGTTAGAATTATGACATACTTACCCACTTGGATACTTGGATGGTGTGTCTTCACTGGTTGTGCCGGCCCAAGAATAATCTCCAATTTTTTTTCGGAGTTTTTGAGGCTTAGTCGCTGTGGTTCTTTGGAGTCCCGAGGTCAGTCAGGGCAAAGTCTGCCCTAGGTCGTCGCCACCACAGGTAGTCGGATCTCTTGTGGATCAGAAGGAGATTCGCCGCCATGCGATTAGTTTGGTACCAGGAGAGTGACGGACCCTGGTATTGGTTTACTCTTAGCTGGATGTCCTGGTGGGAACGCCGAGTTCCTTCTCAGCTTGGGAGACAGAAGAAAGCATTTGGTTAAGATGTTTCAATACGGAAACTGAACACGTTGGTTACATAACAGTCTGGCCAGCAGCTCATGGACATACTTGACACCGGATCGGCAAACTTTTAGATTCCAGGAAATAATTGCGAATGAGTAATAAGCAAGCTTTCGTTTATTTTTCCTCCGGATAAAGTATTAGAAACACAATCAGAAAAAGGAATGGGGAAGCCATTCTACTGCATGCTTACATGGTTGGATTCTTGGACGACTTTTTTTCATAAGTAGTGCGGAACCCAGCACATTTTCCATTCGTTTCTTTGCATCACAGTTGTCGTCCGCGGTGGCGATTCGATTCGAGCATAGTGGCGGGTGCGATATCAGTCTCATACAGTGATCTACAAGTCAACTGCAACTGCTAGTACAGCTGATT